AGGATGCTGCAGAATTTTTCAAGGCATTGTCTGTGAAGGAATATCCCTCGTCTGCAGCTTATGTCCATGTTTTCAAATCATTCTTTAAAGAAGGTAGAGACTCTGAGGCCAAAGAACTGCTTTATAAATGCCCTCATCATATTCGAAAGCTTGGTGAAATTTCCAAACTTTTTGGTTCTACAGAAGGCAAGCAGACTGCTGCTTGACATGTATTTGTTGTAGTAATGTTCATGGTCAACTACATGAACTGTAACGTCTGCTCATTTTTCAACACAATAGGAAATTAGCCTCTGTTTCTTGTTTTCTTCAATGTTAGTCCATTTTGAATTTATTCCTGTCTATTGATGCATATAGCCTACCATTTATGAGATCTCAGGAAGGGCGTGATGCTTCAAAAGAATAGAGACACTTCGATGTTTTTGTATGGCTGTCTTTTTTCTTTTTTTCTTTTTTTGGGGACAGATTATATGATAATTTTAACTATAATCTTCATCACAAATGAAGGGAAGCTGCTAATGCTTTAAAATGAATTAGATTATAAGTCACAGTTTGCAGTAAGAATAAAAATACATTGTTCACAAGACGTGAAAATTAGTCGATTCAGTCAGGTAGCTCAGAACGCTCCCTCCTAGCTGTATCTATCATTGTACTCAAGAACTTGCTAGGGTCACAACCATAAGGACTTGCAAGAGCCGCATGCCCTAGGAATGGAAGCTTTCTTAAAGATCGTCCACTCAATCCCTAACCAAAGTAAAGAAGCAAAATCAACAATCAAATAGCTTTATAAATAAAATAAAATAAAATAAAGGGGCCTAATTTAGAAGGCATTGAAAAATCAGTTCCTCACCTCACAAGCTTCTGCTGTTTCAAGCAATTGTTTACACATGTGTAGTGTTCGGGCATCTTGAACCTCAGGCATATTCAATTTCTCTTTCAAGCTACCGTAGTTAGGAAGCATGAGGCTTTCACAATCCTAAAATTTACAATGTTCATTAGACATGGCTTCAATTTGAAATTTCACACATTAGCACTTAATGGAGAAGGTAATATATTAAAGCTTTAACAAATATGGTATCTGAAGAAGGTAAGACACGTACCTCAAAATTTGATAAAATTCCTGTTCGTATAAGTTCCTGCAAGCAGGACCTTAGAATTTCATAACGCGCTTGCAGAGTTGGGGGACCGACATATGCCTTTATATCAGCTCGATCAACAAATGCAATATCTGCAACCGAATAAATGGTAAATACATAAATACTCAGATTCTTAGAGTTTTTCCTCCTTCGACACAGAAAATAAAATATATCATTGAGGAAAGAGCGAGGAGGATAAAAAATGCTCCCAGCAAACAAAAGAAAGAACACCAACAATAAGGAAAAAATGAGAATATCATTCAGCTAAAAACTTTTATCCCAGCAAATAGGTTGGAAATTAGGGAATGCGGGAATCTGCTTCTGTAGCATATTAACATACAGCAATGCCTATCTATTTTTATAGCTCCTCAGAACCACATAGGATTGGAGGCTGATGAGAATACTATCATAGCCAAACCACAAATAGGCTAAACCGTTTTATACAGTGAGAAACATACATAAACTCTTTCAGAGCTACAACTTTCCACTCCAAGTTAAAGATGAAAAATAGAAAGCAAACCCAGGGAAGTTCATTTACCATGTTAGGAAATTGATTACAGGCTTACCAATAGCAGCCGTTATGTTGGATGTTGTCAGAATTATCACATTCGGTGCTGATTTCAACTTGTCCAACTGAGTTAGCAGCGCATTCACTACCTGGCATGTCATTTTTTAGGTGCTATTTGGACTGGAAAATGAGCTAGTGTGAACCATATCCAAAAAATTTCTCTATGTTCAATCAAAAAGCTTAGAAAGTATTCTAGAATAGGAGAAATGTGAGAGCATGGTACCCGAATAGAATCTGAAGGTTCAGAACCAGATAGAGCAGCTTTTCTAGCAGCAGCGAGGCTTTCAACTTCATCTGCAGCATCACCACATATATATAATCACAACCCAGATGGAAGAAAGATGACCATGAAATCAGAAATCACAGTAAAATTAAATCTCACCAATCAAAACAAATACCAGATTGTTTTCCTCTTCTACCATCTCTTGAATTTTTTGGAAAAGCTTTGCAACCTAAGATTGAAAAATATTTTATACAAACTGCATATACAAAATCTCAACTCTTCTTTACAAAGAGCAGAAGCATCTTTTGAGAATTATAATATCAACTACGTACCAATTTGCCACTCTCGGAGAACCATTTACTGAATAAAGAATGTGCATTAACTTCAATCAATTGGCACTGTGGGTATCTGCAATGCATAAAGTAATGAGTCTGGAAATTTACGCACACAGACTCCCATTTTAGTAATATATATTCGTCTGAACAAAACAATACATCAACAAACCTGGAGTTAAATCGAATAGATAGTTTTTGAGCCAGTGCTTTACATAAAGAGGTTTTTCCAGTGCCTGGAGGTCCATGTAAAAGAACAATGCTGCAAAGGGATAGAAACAATCATATTGGTGCTAAAGAGCAATTCCTCAATAATCATAAAATACAGGCATATGTGTATACAGATGAAATCAACAAACAAGTCCTTACCGATTCCATGACACAAGGAAAGGATTGACACCCTTCTCAGTAAAAAGCAACGCACTAGCTGCATACTGCAGCAACCTTTGCTTGAGACCAGATTCATAAATTAAGCTGGAAAGGTAGAAGACCATGTCACAACATCAGTTTATCTCAACCTACTAATGGGGGAAAAAGTAATAAGTAGCAAATTAACCTTTCCCACATCCCATCAAATTCCTTCGCAGGAAGAATCCATTCATTAAAGGTAGAAGGTTGCCCATCGCCACTTACGTCCTCACATGCTCCCTCTTCGCTAAGCTGACAAAGCAAATACGAGAAAAAGATCAATACTCGAAACAGATATTGAGTCCCAAAGCAGTTCAGATGTCACGGGCAGTACCAACTCAGACAACCCTTACCACCAGGCACCAAATAAAGCAGAATTCTAAAAGACAATAGTAACAGACTGTTGCTAGTTAAAGATAAATAAACAAAAGCAAAGTAAACTGATACACCTACTGCCTATGCTATTCATGAGCACTGAAATTCACCTGAAAAACATGCACAACAGGCTTTACTTGCCAGAACAAAAGGATCTCATGGTTCTGCACCCACTCATCTACAAAAATAAACAGTTCAATAATCAGAACTGGTGAATATCTGAAAACTGCATCCTCCTCCTCCTCCTTTATATGGTTAGAAAAGAAATAAAAATAGTGCTGCAGTCAACTTTCCATTTTGTCAGATGAAAAAGTTCAGCTGATAAAAAGTTGCAATATTGAGCACAGCTGATCATCAAGTTAAAAAAATTTCTTCTCTTTTCCTTCAATATTTTATTAACCTCAGTGATCAAATTCATAGATAAAGAAAAAAAAAATACCCGTGTCACAAATACAGATTCTTTGCACATTTTCCGTCAGGAACTGATCGTCGGGCGGCACGGGCACAGGTCCATCAGTATAGCTTAAACTCCTCTTTTCAAGCATTCTAAGCATTTAACAAAAAGGAAACCAAAAGAGACGTTAAAACGAACATATAAGACCCAATTAAGATACAACTGAGAATCATTGCTCGGAAGTCAAGATTAATGGAGTTTAACAGTACACCTCTCAACGGCTGACCGTACATCGTCAATCCGAGCTGTGCTTGAGGGCTTGAGGGAGACTTCAACTGAAACCCACAATCAATTTTCTTTAAAGAAAGTAAATTTACAACTAAATCATCAACACAACCTCAAATTGGAATAATTTGAAACTCAAAATGATGAAGAGGAAGTCGAACGGACCTGAAACAAGTACTTTGTCATGGGGAAGACTAGGAGAAGGAGCTGAGTCTACCGCGATGACGCCGTTTTGGTCCGGAATCTCGTTGTCTTGGGGGTTTTGCAGAGAGATCTCCATGGGACTGGGAGCACTCATTTTCGGGTTTAGGGTTTGAGAGACTATGAAGCGGAAAGCATCACACAGAGAATCGAGACCAGCTTGGAGGGGATGAGCCAAACCCTAGAGCCCAAAGAGAAATCCGGTAAATTGTTCTTCAAAATGGGCGGGAATATTTTGAAACTTCGTGTCCAGCAATTTATAATATACATTTTCTTTTTCAAATAAATTATATCTTTTTCTATTAGTTTTGTAAGATTTGATTTTTTATTATCTAGATTCTATACCAGTCTCTCCGCACTTGCGAGAGGCTTTTTTTTTTAAAAAAAAATTATTTATTTTAGAATTAAAAAAGATAATTGGTAGTTGTGTTCTATAAAAATAGGATTCATTATATTTTTTTTTTAATTTTTAATTTTTTTTTAATATGGAAAAGTGTGAATTTACTATATTATCGTAATTTAATTAATAATTTCAATTCTTAATGTTTGCATTAACCAACATTTTCTGCATTTTGTTTTATATATATAGACGCACAAGTTAAAAATTCATAATCACATTACCTTCTTTTTTTATATAAACGAACTCATGAGCATAGTGGGAATCACATCCGCTCTAACCAATTTGACTAAGTCCATATATGCAACATTACTTTCTTTGTAACCATAGGTTACGAAGTTAACCTTTTTAGTGCATAAAAAGGTTTACCTAATTAAATTATTAATTGTTCTTAACTAGTTACATTTGTTTTCAAAATATAGATTTTAAAAAATATAAGAGAGATGTCTTTTCTTTGGTAGCACCATGAATGGAAATGGGGCCTTGCCCAGCCCACTTTGTATGCTTATTTTCCATTTTGTATGTGTTCACCTCACATGCCCATGAAAGATAAAATCATCATGTCACCAAAAGGACGTGATTTGCCAACTTATCTCACTCTTTTATAATGGTAGCGATGTGAGGCTCTAACTTTCCCAAGATAACATGGCCCATACAAGACTTTGTTAGAGAAGGAAAACAACCATGAAGAAAAAGTTACAGCCTGAGGATGACAGAGAACTTGAAATTCTCAAGGCTGTGGCACAAGCTTGGTACAGCTACTCCAGAGGCTCTAGGCCCACGTCCGAATTTGATGCTCACCGGAGAAATTTCAGAGGCAGATTACCGTCTCGGTTCAAGCTCGAAGCGATGAGAAAGTCTACATCAGCTAGTAATCAGGCTAGTGGATATGCAGCATGGGACTTTGGGCAGTCACTATGGGATGCTTATGAGATTGTGGCTGTGTCCAAAAGGTTAGAGACTGGGTTATTCGTTGATGAAAATCCATTCAATCAGCTGGATAGTCCGCCCCGAGTCATTAGGAGGCGTAGGGAGAGCAAGCACAGCCTCAGAAGTTTGTTTGATAAAATGTCTTCGAGGAGATTTAATGAGGCTGATGTTCCACCTGATAATGATACTTAATTCTGGTCCTTCTGTGAGGTTCTTTTCTTTTCTTTTTTTTTCTTGGCAGGATTTTCGTTCTTGTTAATGTGAATTGCAGCTCAATCTTACCTTACCATCGCAATTTTCTTCTAATCTAGCAAACAGGGGAATGGGGTGGGGAGAGCTTATACTTGGGTCAATTTGTGCATATAACTTTTTACACCAGAAGTACATTAAAAAGAGAAGAGTCTGAATGCACTTTTTTGTGTGTTTGTTTGTGTTGTTATGTGCTTAATTTGTTATGTGCCAGTGCACCTATGCTTAAAAATAATTCTCTTTTGCTTTTTTCCGAATTCCTCTATGTATTCTTTATGGCTTCTTATCTATGTTTTGTGTTTTGATGCTGCTGGTGGTTTGGTGAGATCTGTAGATGATTGATTTTGAAGTGACAAGATGTGCAAAACTATATTCAGTTCTACCAGCTTTTATCATTACTTAAATAAGGCTTGGATCAATGCTTTCTTTTGGGGACCAAATACCCTACAAGTTGAGACCTTTGCTTTAGAATCTCTTCAGATGCATAGTCCAATTTGATCTTGAAAATGATAAGTTATTCCCCACATTATTGTGGTGCTGGTCCTGGAACCTGGTAGATGCCCTGCCATGGGCTTCAGATCAGGTGCTCAAAACAAAGATGGCAGAAGACATGTGGAAAGCACGATTCGATTCGATATAAACATATTTTCCCCCACATCACGGTCCTCTTGTCATCTGATATCCCAATGAATTGGCTGAACTTAACTACTTTAGGTTGGTAGCTCAAGCCCTATGCTAGCCATACATATCAATATTGCAGCACTTGGCTGACGCAGGGCTCAAGCAAGCCAGTTAATTTTTGGTACCCATGACCTATCAAAGAAAACCCTTCTGAAGGGCTCTTGGAGGCCATTTTTCTGCATAACTTGTACCTCTAGTAGTATTAGTATATGTATATTCGTCCATTCCTTCAACTTCAACAGAAAAAGTTAAAGCAAATGGGAGGCCACATCTCTGATGTTCATACGGCCATTGCTTTGCTGCATTAATAACAAGAGCAATATACCAGCAGAGGGGCAATAACAGCAAACATAACTGTAACTTTAACTTATTTATTTAATAAGGGAAATGCATTTAACTTGACAATGGCATCCTACTAAGAGCCAAGGAACTTCAGCATTTATAAAAGACAGGCACTTTATTTATGTAACTGGTGGTGTAGGGTAGCACACTAGTTTATGAGATACGCCTGCCAGTCATCCATGACCGACGCTCTCCAAAAAGCCTTAACGCCCTTTGTAGGTCTTCCACTTGCACAATTCAAATCCCTTGTGGTTGCCCTTGATGAAGCCGTCAGCTTGAACATCGATGGTTTCCTCAACTGACTTGACCTCAGGCTTGCGCTCATTTTTCTGGTAACCGCCATGGTCCTCTCTTACACTGGCCTGGTTGTTGAAAAGGGTCTGGCCATAGTGAGGGACTTCAGTGAGAACACTAGGGGATCTTGCAATCCTTTGAAGATGAGAATAATAATCTGAGCCATTTTGGCTCTTGGTTGGGTTCTCGTAATTTCTGCTCATTGTTCTGCAATCACAAGTTGAAAGTATTAGGAGCATTAAGCTTCAATTTATAGACAGAAATGCTTTGCCTTTATTCTAAAATGATAAGTGTGGCATCTAATTCTCTATCTTTTTGTCTATATCAAATTGATTCAAGCATATGAATCTAATAACGCTGGAAGGAGGTGAGCCTAAAATTGGATATTTTTTCTTCTTTTTTCAAGCTTACATCCTCCAAAGGCATAATATATTAATGGGTCTCAAGATTTGTCTCCATCATGATGTTAAATTCCTTAACTTTCTCAAAGCTAAGCTGGCCTTCAATACCACACTAGATTTTTACGTTAGAATCATAAAAAATGAGCAATTTTTTCTTTGGTTTAGTAAATTCTTATTTGAATGTGAGGTCCGAATTCAGTCGAAAAACATAACATACCAAATAAGCTGCAACATCACATTTTTTGCATATACTACTATTATAGCCACACTATTATAATTTATAGTGACGGTACCATTTAAGAGCTTGACAAATATCCCAATATTGAACAAAATGGCATTGACAGCCTTTCCTATCTCTCCCGCCAAACCCTTAACTGCCATAACGACCATTTCCCAATTCCCACACAATCCTAAAACCCTAATTCTCCAACAATGCAAAACCACCAGAGACCTCAACCAAGTGCATGCCCACCTGATCAAAACCCGCCTTCTCCTCAACCCCGCCATCACCGAAAACTTCCTGGAATCTGCCGCCATACTCCTCCCTAATGCCATGGACTATGCTGTCTCCATTTTTCACAACCTCGACGAACCCGATACTTTGGTTTATAACATTATGATAAGGAGCCTCACATACAAGCAGTCCCCTCTTGAAGCCTTTCTTTTGTTTAAGAAAATGCAGGAAAGCTCGGCTGAACCCGATGAATTCACTCTTTCTAGTATATTGAAGGCTTGTTCTAAACTAAGAGCATTGAGAGAAGGAGAACAGATTCATGCCCACATTGTGAAATGTGGGTTCAAGTCAAATGGGTTCGTTGAGAACACTTTGATTCACATGTATGCAACTTGTGGGGAACTTGAGGTTGCCCGCCGTGTGTTTGATGGATTGCCAGAAAGGGCTCGTATGGCGTGGAATTCGATGTTAGCAGGTTACATGAAGAACAAGTGTTGGGACGAGGTGGTGAAGCTATTCCATGAAATGTTGAAACTGGGTGTTGGGTTTGACGAGGTTACATTGATTAGTGTTTTGACAGCATGTGGAAGACTGGCCAATTTGGAACTGGGAGAGTGGATTGGTGACTATATAGAGGCAAATAGACTCAAGGTTAACATTGCTTTAGTCACTTCTCTGGTTGATATGTATGCTAAATGCGGTCAGGTAGAGACTGCAAGACGATTCTTTGATCGAATGGATCGAAGAGATGTTGTTGCTTGGAGTGCAATGATTTCTGGTTATAGCCAAGCAAATAGATGCAGGGAGGCGCTTGATCTGTTTCATGACATGCAAAAGGCAAATGTGGATCCCAATGAGGTTACCATGGTTAGTGTTCTTTATTCGTGCGCTGTCCTTGGAGCTTTGAAAACTGGTAAATGGGTTGAGTTTTATATAAAGAAGAAGAAACTGAAGCTCACTGTTAATCTTGGAACTGCACTAATTGATTTCTATGCAAAATGTGGGTGTATAGATAGTTCAATTGAAGTATTTAATAGGATGCCTTCAACAAACGTCTTCTCCTGGACAGCACTAATTCAAGGTCTTGCTAGTAATGGACAGGGAAAAGGGGCTCTTGAATACTTTCAATTGATGCAGGAGAAGAATATAAAACCAAATAACGTGACTTTTATCGCAGTTCTTTCTGCTTGTAGTCATGCAGGTCTGGTTAATGAGGGTCGAAACCTTTTTACCAGCATGATTAAAGATTTCGGAATTGAACCAAGGATTGAGCACTATGGTTCTATGGTTGATATATTGGGTCGAGCTGGGTTGATAGAAGAGGCATATCAGTTCATCAAGAGCATGCCTATCCAACCCAATGCAGTTGTTTGGAGGACATTATTGGCTTCATGCAGAGCACATAAAAATGTTGAAATTGGTGAAGAATCATTAAAACACATAATCAGTTTGGAGACCCCTCATAGTGGAGACTATATTCTGCTATCAAATATTTACGCATCAGTAGATAGGCGCGAGGATGCTATTCGGGTGAGAAATCAAATGAGAGAAAAGGGAATAGAGAAGGCTCCGGGATGTAGCCTGATTGAGTTGGATGGAGTGATTTATGAGTTCTTTGCTGAGGACAAAGCATGTCCACACTTGGAGGAGGTTTACAATGCAACTCACGACATGATGAAACGGATTAAGGAAGCTGGTTATGTGCCCTACACAGCAGATGCAAGACTAGATGCAGAAGAAGATGATAAGGAAGCTTCAGTATCCCACCACAGTGAGAAGTTGGCCATTGCCTTTGGTCTTATCAGAACACTTCCTGGAACTACACTTAGAATATCTAAAAATCTTAGAGTTTGTACGGACTGCCACAATGCAACAAAGATGATATCAAAAGTATTTAACAGACAAATTGTTGTTAGGGATTGGAACCGCTACCATCATTTCAAAGAAGGCTCATGTTCCTGCAATGACTATTGGTGAATTCTACAACGTGTCTTGTATTTGAGGTGTAGTCTACAGGCGTTTCTAGTGCATCCTTAGTCCCAGCCATGCAATTCCTAAAATGTTCTAAGATATTTTTGAATTAAAGCAAATTTTCCAGTTAGTATCATGTAATTCATGTTCATGATATTGATTGAGCCAATTATTGGGATGCAATTCAAATTGTCAGTTGGGATAAAATTACGTCCAAAACTTTAAATTCAAGCATCACAATGAAACCCAGCTCCAAACTATTAGCTACTAGATGTTAAAATATCAAATCGCAGGTAAGATCCTACATGTTGACTACATCCAGTGGAACATTCAATAGATGCGAAGTGGGGAATTCATCTGACAATTGAACTTGATGAGCATTGATTTTGATCCGCTTAAACATTTACCATGTTAACAAAATGTACTTAATCGGACTAGATTCTATTGTTTAGGAGCCCTCCGAACATTATTGACCCGAAGGAAGGGCAGAGGTTATAGGTCTTCTCATCAACTAATCAGCACTCAATAACACTGGTTAAAGCAGAAGAAAAATCCTTTTGGCTTGTCTTCCATTTCTCCTTTGGGTGTCTCCCCTGAGCCATCGCGTGCTGCCATCAAGGAGCTTGTGCCAGGAGACTCCGGTGGCAAGACAGTGTTCTCGGTGAAAATTCGAGATGGAATTGCAGGTTCAGGAGGAGATATGGTGTAAAGATAATCAAGTAGCATTTGAATTATTTGGCTGAAATTAGGTCGGGCATTTGGGTCCTCCTGCCAGCAGGAAGTTAGGATGATATTCAATTCCTCCGGGAGGTTCTCATCAGCACTAGGCCTCACATTCTGAAATGCAAAATAACCCTTACATCATCAGTAAAACTTAGCAGTACCACAAGCATTTTGGAAAGTAACTAAAATAATTACGATGGGAAATATCATATAGATGGGGAAGATATGTTTACTTTAAATGCAGCTGCATATGCTGCCTGGAGATTTGACATGCCTTCAAAAGGCAACTTGTTGTGTAAGAGTTCCCACAAAACGATTGCGAAGCTATAGGCATCCACTTTATGGTTGTAATGCTTTCCCTCTCCCTGCCTTAATGTAACAGTACTGTACAGCTGCAAACAAATAGGTAAAGCAACTCAAATAAGCTGGTGATTTTATGCATGACGATACACAAGAGAGCTGGGGAAGGAGTGCAGTACCTCTGGAGCCATCCAACGGTATGTCCCAGTTTCTGCAGTCATCATCTCTGTTAATGACTCTTCTCTTGCTAACCCAAAATCTGCTAATTTAACTGTTTTGTGGTCTGCAGTCAAGAGTAGGTTCTCTGCACCATAAAAAATGTAAAGAATAAATAAGCAAATGAGTAAAAAGGTATCGCACAGGAAACTTTACACTTTCAAAACACAGCAACTAATTCAGCCAACCTCATCAATGCATTAACTAATACCAATGGCAGACCAGTCATTACTTCGAAAAAACAAAACAAGAAAATAATAGTATAAGTGTGAGATATTTCTAACTGAACCCATCTTCTTTAAGTAGCTAACTATATATATTTTCCAAATAAATACAAATAATGCACAAATGCACACTTTGAAATGTAACAAATGGTTCACCCATCCACATCAATGCATTAAATCATGCTATATACAAAGAAATCATTCAACAAACAGAAACTATCTTGTTTGAAGGGCCATCTTCCTAAAGTATAATGCAGTCAAAATTGGCAACTTAAATATAAGACTATAACATTTCAGAAAGGAAAACCCAGCTGAAGGTATCACCAGCAGTGATGAAATTTTTTGTGGTAATGCAAACAAGGACGAGTTATTAATAATTTAATACCAAAAGAAAGTTGGGTGATTGAGCAGTTATGGCAGACATAAGTCAGAAGATATTGATTACATACAAAATAAATATGGCAATACAGAGTCATCAGAATTGGTCAGTCATTATTAGAGAAAAATACAAGACAAGAAAAAGAAAAACGTAAACAGAGAACTACATCGCTACTTCAGAATAAAGAATTTATCTATAGAATGTGATCTAATTCTGATACAGTTTGTGAATCTAAACCTTCTGCAACCTAATCACACCTATTGAATTCAAAGGGATTAAAACTGGGAAGGGAAAAGTTACCAGGCTTCAAATCACGGTGTATGATCCCATGAGAGTGCAAGCACTCCATTGCACGAGCAATATCGAGTGCAAAACCAACAGCAACGCGTATGTCCAAGCACCTTGGCCGCATGTTCAGACAATATTTACGCAATGTACCTCCCAGTAAAAGCTCAGTAACAATCACCATTACTGGCTCCTTGCAGGCACCAATAAACTGTTGAGAGGCAAGGTAGTTTTATTTATGTTGACACACAACAATTTGATATTTATGACTACATAATCTGACTATTGTCACCAGTCACCACAATGATTTACAAACTATAGAACTTAGGCAAATGACCACCATAATTTTCAAATTAAATCCAACCTTCACTAAATTTTTATGTTGAACTCTAGACAACATTGCAACCTCTCTGGCAAACCGTCCTTCTCTCTTGGCAATCTCCTCCGGAGTTTCTCCTCTATGAACAACTTTAATTGCAACAGTCTGGTTTTTGTATCTGATTGGAATCCAAAAAGCCGAAATATAATGGAGTGAGATAACTGCAGCATAACAGGACGCAAAATTGAAGTATAATTACTTGCAATCTAATTGCTTAAAAACTCAATTTTTGTGCTCAAACCAAATTCATCGGCAACTACTGAGGTACAATTCAGTGAAAACTTAACCGTTTCTAGAATCCTACCGGAATAGATTACATGTTCAGCAGAACCCCAAATATAGCTGAGAATGCAAACACAAAAAAGAAAAATGCAGAAAAGATATGACTATTCCTAGCAAAGAACTCAATGGTTTGTCGAATCTAAAGAAAGATGGCCCAAAAACTTGCAAATCTAAACAGTATTTGTCTCAACTAACAGAAATGGCAAGCCGCAGAAATGGCATTGCCCAAAATCAAGACACACAAGGTTTTCACTTATGCAAACCAAACAATTGAAGTGAGAAAAATCGAAACTTAAGTAAAGCTACACAACTTACTTGCCCTCATACACTTTGGCATGAGCTCCCTCTCCAATTCTTGGCCCAACGAACAGATGCTTAGGATCAATCAGCCATTTTGCATCCAATCTGAACTCATCAGCATCAGCTGAGTAAAACCTACTCCCAGATTCCATCTTTCTATACAAGGAAATAATTCAACATCAAAATCTAGGAATGAACTCTAGCACCCATCATCCATGTCATAGCAAAATCATATATGTTCAGAACCCAAAAGGGAAAGCTTTGAAAAGATCATTGATTAAGGCTGTGGATGGATAAGCTGACATGAAAGAGAGAAACTAAACAAGACATGTTGTGCAGCAGAGCGGGTTGCAGTGTGTGTTGTGCCTGCTAAACACATCTCAAGAATAAAAGGCCCAGAGCTCAAAACTCACAGGAGGTACTGGATAAACTTACATGTCCTTAGAGGAGGCAAAAGCATGGAACCCCACATGTTCTACCAGAGAGAGATTGTGACAGCAGACCCCAAAACAAAAGCTCAATGCCCAAAGAGATTTTTCTTGAAAGCTTTTATGGGGAAAAGAGAAAGATCCCTCAGAAAGGCAAACCAGGAAAGGGAACCAATAAGCAAGCTCTTCCCAGTGAGAAGAACTAGAGTAGTTTCATTAAAATTCGATGGCCATCATTGAAATGGGTTTGATGGGTTTATAAGTTTAATTAATCTCCGAGGGCACAGAACTTCAGTCTTGATCTGCAGACGGAATCATGGAAGGGGATTGAGTCTATGTTTCAACTTTTAAGAATTTGGAGAGAGATAGAGAGGGGGAGAGAGTAATGAATATTGTAGTTTAAGTCTGTGGGAGCCATCCAATAAACTAATCAAGAGCACATGGAAACTGATCTTGCCAACATGGGGGGTAAACTTGTAAAGCCACTGAATAAGAAGACTAGAAGAGCCTGGACTGGACTACCTTTGGTGTACTTGTACTTCACTTCAATGGAAGATAGGCTTTGACTGAAACAAAGATGATACAGGAATTCATTAGGCTTTGACACCAACCATTTTGGTACCACATTGTGATGGAAATCTAAGAAGAACAAAACCATAATTGGGATTTGCTTATGCCTTTAACTTTGAAGATGGTCTAATTATGATGCATTTACAAGTTTTGCACATCAAACCCAAAATCCACACACACACAACTAAGATGTCATGAGAGTTAGAATATGAGACCTCTTATCTATCGATACTCTTTTTCACTGTGCTAGACCCATTGCCAGCCATTTCAGTGTTGATGGATTTCACTATTGGACAAATCATTATATGTCTTCCACCTCACAAAGGAGGGAAAACTGTGGCAGCTAATGCTGCTGAGGGGTGGGGGCAGTTAAAAAGATGAGAGGCAATCGGTGGTAAAGGAGAGGAGAGAGAGATGTTGCAACATCGACTATAAAAAGAGAAAAAGGATAAGTTGCTTCAACCGTTCAAATTGCCGTGCAAGACTGGTAAGTTCCAAAATGCACACGAGACGGCTCAGCGACGAGACCCTTTAATTGCCCAACCAAACTATAAATAAAATTTCGACAAAAAAAAACTATAAATAAAAATGATAGGCAACATCCATAAATATGGTAAATTTAAATCCATAACTTAGATATCAGTATAAATACTAAATACATGATTACATACTAAGCAAAAGAAGCACATGGTCCAAAGCAAAGCATCACATCGCATGGCAAATGCCAGTCCATTATTTCTGATATATATATGTACTATTTATAATAACAAGACTTATTATTATTAGTAGTAGTTGTCTTTCATCTAAAGCTTCTCCCCATTGATGAGATCCATAACCACACGCTTTATGCTCCCATTGTTCTTCACAAGCAGCTTCTTGTTCATTTCCGCATCGCAAAAGCCCTGCACAAAAGCGATCACTATTCAGAACTTATGGCTCTGAAAGTCTCACATACACCAAAAACTATAAAGAGAGACAACATGTCCAATACTTCATCATGCTTGGCTTGGACAACTTACCATTTCCTGCAGCTCTTCAAGGATAGGATCCCAGTCAGCAACGTCACAGAGGTCATCCACAGACTGCTCCAGGTTGTACTCATTCCTACGCAGAATCTCCTTGTTCAAATTGACCTGCTTAAACCCCATCTCCTCAAGCTCCTTTAGGAGGGTGTCTTCCTTGCCAGTATTTGAACTGGTCCCTTTAGATGATGTTGGTGCATTGACAACAGGTGCCGATTTGGGGGAGGGTGGTGCTGATTCAAAGATATCAACAGTCGGATACGACACAGTTGAATTCTGCGGCTCAGTAGGTGCTGAACCACTGTGGCCAACCAGCAAGTTATCATTTATAGGGAAGTGGAGCTCCTGGTCATTTTCAGGCTGTTGATGAGGCATGAGCTTCACTGGCTCCTTAACTGAGCTGGAGCCAGAGGGCTCGATAAAGTCATTTCCAGCAGCTGGTTTAAGGTTGACATCTATTTTTTCAGGTTCTTTAGAACCACAAATCTCAGGAGGAAGATTCAGGTTCAAACCTTGAAAGCTCCCAAAGAATGAATCCTTCAAGGTAGCATCAACCTGCACAGGAGGCCAAAAGATAAGTAAATTTGTCCAACTACTATGGGCTTCAGACGTAAAGTTAATCTGGGAAGCATCTGCCAGAATGGATAATTAAAGTGAAAGTCATCAAAAGGATCACAATCATATCTGATTTGTAATGAGGAAAATACCTGGATAAGAACCCAAACACGTTGCCCAAACTTTTGTCCTGATGGAGATGCCATCCTCCAATACGAGATGTATCTACCAGGTGACTCAGGTGCAGTAAAATCAACAGCAACGTCAAGTTCATAGTCAGCAGACACACCATGAGAAGGAATCTGAAAAGAATCAAGATTTTAACAAAAAACACAAAACAAAGAATTGAAATGGAAGTGGACGAAAATTGGCATGTAAAAGTCAAGAAATATGGAAAGGAAATAAATAAGAAACTAATATACATTGCTCAAGCAATTCCAGAAAACTGTCAAAGTTATGCTACCTCTATCTCAACTGAATCTGATTTGCTAAATCTGTCTCCCCCAATCCACATGAGCTGTGTTCCTTGAGGCCAGATCAAACCACCAGTGTTGCGCATCCGCCATATTTTGGTAAATGGAGTAGATGGGGCTATTAAGGTACCATCCATCACGTTGACATCCAATACGAAGCGGCTGTCAAGCTTAGGACGGCCTGATTTCATACTACAACCTCTCAAGATTTTTGGCAATACTGGAGGACCAACCCATGGAGGCTGTCATTGAAGATAAAAAGAAAAGGTCAAATTCATGATAAAAATAACAATGGTATAAAAAGCAGAAGATAACATCTTAGGAATCTACACACTTGCTCATACAACCCCTTGAAAGGCCGTGGATGCCGATACGACACAGGGTGGTCAATTCTAATGTAATCACTTGCATTACCCATACTTGAATAACAGATACGGCAGAGGTCATAATCTTCTTTCCTGCAGAAAGCAAACCAGAAATAACATCAATTATGAGAAATCAATAATGTTTCGTTACCATCTTAGCATCAATTAGTTTTTCATCCTTACACTACGGACTTGAACCGAGGACCAATTATTGGATGACAACCACATCCATCACAGCGAACTCCTGTGTGGAACATGCCACCCATTGCTTCAGAGTGATTCCTTTTAAAAGGAATACGTCGACATACAGGAGGATTGGCTGACTGGTTTGCAATTGCAGTCCCTGTAAATGGACATTCGTTGAAATGATTACTGCTCATATCATTAATCACACTTTCAGGGATAGCAGAACTTGTAGATGCACCACAACCAAGAGACTTCTCGAAATTTTTCTGTGGAAGGTAAAAAAGACTGTTAAACTCCTTAGTCTCCTTCCTGTCATCACTAGTGTGAAGACTTGATCCCACTGGTGCACAATTCAATGGTGCAGGTCCAGATGGATTAAAATCGGTAGGAAGGGAATTGAGATCAACAGTAGCCTGGCAAGGTGGAACCGACAACCCCACATCCTTACTCACATTCACAGCGCCCATTGCCTGACTTTTTTTGGAGCTTGATTCCTCAAATGCTGACTTCAGGATGGGTCCTGACTTGCCATCATCCTTCACATCATTTAAATTAGCGGCAGCTGATGGAGCCATAGGGATCTTCGAGAAACCACTCTGTGTGGCTGAATCTCCACCAACCGGAACTTGGGAATCTGGAGTCAAGTAGGATATCCCCATGTTTGAAAAGCGGTCAACAAGATCTGCAAGCACTGGACTAGAGGATTCGGCCTTTGAAGCCAACTCAAGGTGCAACTTAGAAACAAATTCACGAAGCGGCTCTGGCAAGGACTTCAAAACTTCAGCAGCACCAGTTTTGAAATTTAGGGTTGGAGATGTGCCTTTGGGAGACCTTAATGGAGTAGAACTTCCACTTGATTTGGCATATGACTTGCCAGCTTTGTCATTGTTCATATGTACATCAATTCTCAAGAACTTCAACTGCTGCCTCATTGCATCACGCAGATCATCATCATCAACAAGAGTTACTATATCTCCATCTTCATCAATGTACGTCATAGCGATGTCAGCATCAGGATGGAAATTGAAAAGACTGAAGATTTTTGCTCGCAGTCCACCCATGTCAAGATCCAGTTGATCATTCTCATCAACACGAGCATTGAAACGCCTCAGTGTATCCCCATACTTAACCTTCAAAACATCCAGTGACATGTTAGTACATTCAAAAGTAACCAAATAACCACAAAATGTAATTTGATGGCATCATATGCTTTCAACTCATTTACGACAGTAACAAACATTTAGCTATACAACATCCCAATATTTGGCTAGAACATTTTTAAAAATTTGAAAACAAAACATTTATCATCCGTTAAGGGCGTCTGGTAATTGTATAACATGATGTCATCATCTAGCGTGGAAAAAGACTCGATGCTTAGCTATTACCATGATGACACAAAAAGAAATCAAAATTGACCATAGACTATGAGAACACTAACAAACTTTCCTAAATTCAAACCATCTACAATCAAACCAATCGAGGTAAGCTTAACAAAAACTGCCACCATTGAGCCCCATCTATGGTTGGCCAGTTAGCGGTCCGATCATTCAGAAAACGAACAATTTTCCCAAAAATGAAGAAAACAGTCAATCTAATAAAGCTACCAAGATTCAGAAAACTCAATATTCGAAATCATAATTTAATCCACCCTCTCCAATTAGGAAAAACAAACATAGATTCTTCAATCTATAGCCCCGTTCCATCCCAGAGTTCAGTTCCATGTCAAATTTAAATTCCACTGCCTTCCCCCAGACATTTCGTGTCAACGAAAAAGAGCAAAAATAAACCCAATAGGCAAAAAATCAAATTCTATCATAAAAGTTACTAAAAATTGTACCTTGATAACCAGGGTTGACGCCATAGCTCCAGAAACAAGCAGAGAACAAGTGTTCTGCAAATCCAATCTAAGAGTAAAATCCTAACCCTAACCCTAGATGATATAGAACCGTTGAGAACGAGAAAATCGTAGGTTATATCGGAGCCCAAGCGTACCCGTCAGCCGCTATTACCGCCTCTCTTTCTCTCTCTACCTCCTCTGCAAAACGAAAGCATTGATACGCTGTGTATTTATAAATCACTTTAGCTTAGCGAATAAGAAAATTAGACTGACTTTTGGCTTTCTTCTCGCCAAAGATAGTTGCGGATTTATTAAGAAGCGGAAATACTCTGCTGGTTACGAGACCATCGTAAATATTTGAAACCTCATACGTGGATTTATAGCACTGGTTGCTGTTTAATTTGTTTTTCCAGACGCTACATGTATTGATGTAGCTTTTCTTTTTTCTTTTTTGTTGGTCTTGGAATGTAGCTTTTCTTTTTCTCCTCTAAATTTCACCCATGCTTGTGATTCTATTGTTGGGAAAATTCTTGGGTGTGAGGTTTAATTGTTGTATAGCGTTACTAATTTACGTGATATAATATGGATTGATAATGAATTTATATATCTTATATCAAGGTATAATATAAATATATAAAATACGTGTTATATAATGTAAGTGAACTGTAACACCACATAACGATCAGATGTTCTAAACTCAAATCTTGATAAATATATATTATCAAGCATGAGATAATGAAAATGGGATGAGAGAATAATGATGTTGACTTTGTATATATTTTTCCTTTTTGGATAATTTGGGAGTCTAATGTAGAAGTTGTAGGGTAAAACACTTCCTCGTCACAGTTTGATTTGAACAAACTTCTTTTTTGTATTTTACAAAACTGTAATAATATAATAACAAACCTCGACCAAACGTTTATTCCAATGGTTACAGAACATCTAATTGGAAGCCAGCATGTAATTTCAAAGCCACACAATGCACAAAAATTTGCAAGGGCAACTCCAGAGAGTAAAAGAAAATCAACTCATATTAGAGAGAGAGAAGAAAAAAAGCTATCTTATTCCAACCAATCAGCTTCCTTGACACCTTGTGAACCTTTGGCCATCAGACTCAAAATTGCTGCACTAGCCAAAGCAACAAGGCCTCTTTTTATGAGCACAACCCTGACCAAGCACAATGTGGTCAATTTGCTCAAACATCCCCTTTTGGAGACACAGGGAGGTCAATCCTAATGTAATCAGTCACATTACCCCGACTCGTAACACAGATTCGACAGAGGCTATAATCTTCAATCCTGCAGAAAACAAACCAGCAAAAAAACAGGCATCAGTAAAAGAGTTCAACCATGTAACTATGTTCCATCAGCAGCTTATTGACAATTTGATCAGAGACATACACAATAAGTTCCTTCCTTACACTATCGACTTGAACCGGGATCCAAGTATTGGATTGCAACCACAGATGCTGCAGCGAAAACCCGTGTGGCACATCATACCACCTACGGCTTCAGATTCAAGACATGCCACAGTTGGAAAAACAGGGTGATTATAATGTGGAGGAGCATTGCTTCTGCTCATATCTTCATTATGATGTGGAGGAGAAGCAGAACTTGTGCTAGTAGCCTTGTTGGTCTCCCCAGAATCAGCAAGGAGATCAAGATCATCAAAATAATCGGGGTAAGGTTGAACCACCATCTCCGTATCACTTGTCACATTAGCAGCATCCTTCCCTTGACTTTTACTTCTTTTGGAGCTTGAATATTTACCAACATCTTTGTCATCATTCATCAGTACATCAATTCTAAAGGACTTAAGACGCTGCCTCATCGCATCTCGCAGATCATCATCGTCCACGAGAGTTACTACATCCTTGTCTTCATCGATATATGTTAGGGTAATGTCAGCACCAGGTGGAAGGTGAAAAAGACCGCAAATTTTTTCCCTCAATCCAGCCATGTTAAGATCAAGTTCACCATTCTTATCAACATGAGCTTTGAAACACCTCAGTTTGTCCCCAAGTTTAACCTTTAGCACAACCAGCAACTTGTTAGAAACATTCAAAAGCAACCAAATAAATATATAACACAATTTGAAAGATCAAAACTTCTGACTGATTCAATATGACCAACAAAACTTGTACAAATGGAAAACAAAATCAAATCTGTCTCCAAATTCTGTAAGTGCAAACAATTTCTTTTCCAAATTTGACCCACCTCTAACCAAAAACTAATCAGATTTAGTCAGATCAACCCTTTTCACCATTGAACCTCATGTAAGGCCGGTAACGATCAAACTTTTCAAAAAGATGAAGTCTTTCCCAGAAATTATCAAAATTATCAATCTGGGATGCCAAGGATCAAAATTCCATATTCAAAATGATCAATCTATAAACTCAATTCTATGTCAAATTTTACAAATTCTCATCTCTTCCCCAAACTTTTATCAACAATCAGATAAAGCATAACAAACCCTACTTGAAACTAAATAAATTAAATTAAATTCTTACCTTGGAAGTTCCAAAATATCGCACCTTGATAACTGTGGTGGACGCCATAGCTCCACCATAACAAGGTAACAGATAGACAATGAAGAAAAGAAAACATTGAAGTTGGAGAAAATAAATCAGAGACTATAAAGATTTCTAAGTCTTTGAGCCCTTGACTTTTAAAAACTTTACCTTTCGTGGATTGTTCACATAGGGCGGCAAAAGAATATTATGAGACAATATATGGGATATCACTGGCGTCAACTTTTTTCTCTTTTTGTATACAATTGGCGGCAAAAAAGATGTAACATACTTTGGATTATTTATTGGTAACGCTTTTTATTATTTAAATTAACAATTAGGTCATCAATGAGGGTTGATTGAGTTGGTAAGGATCGTTCTCTTCGATATCCAGGCCTAAGTTCGAGTCACGTAAAAACTCAAAAAGGGGCTAAGTCCTCAAAGAGAGCTTTTCTAAACTTTTGAGAATTTAAAAAATAATAATAATAACAATTGGGTCCCAAAATAACTATAAAGAAAGTGAAGAAAGCAAGAAAAGAAAAAGGCAAAGTTTCTTTTAAAGAGCATGTCCTGTTTTCAACTACATTGCTAATTTGCTATCAGCTTCAGGACTTGGGCACAAAAAGAATTTATGATCTATCTGAATGTGAATGATAAAGCATGTGTCAAAGGGAAGTGTCTTCTTGTCTTGGTGCCAAGAGAATCTCCCTATCTACAAATTCGAATATTTCCTTCAGTCGATGGGCAAACTTCTCTATAATGTTGTGTGTGATCCTCTCCTGAAACTTTGTGCTTTTAAGCCAGGTGACCCTGACATGAACATTGCATTTACATGCATTATGAGCTAGGGTAGAATTCTCAATCTGGTACCTAAACTGAACCTGCATGAAGAAAGAAAATCTATCTTAATTTTCAAGAGATGATAAGTGATACAAAAAGCTAGCAATTTTGAATTTCATGTCACGTACACGAAAGTGATCCTCAAATGGAACACCGTGCAGGGCCATAACTTCGTCCACTACCCATCCTTCACCATCTTCAATGGGAGTTTTTTTTTGTCTGCATGTGACCTCTCCTCCAAAGATCGAAACTTGGCGGTTGAATCTGTATGACAGATGACGCTCAAACACATCCGGCTTTTTTGTAGGTTCCCATGCAGTAGTTGCATAGTTAAGACAACCAGATTTCTCCATTATTTTGTGCTCCAACGTTCCTCCTTCGAACATTTCCATCAGAGATTTTGTCTGCACCATTGTCCAGCAGAGTCTTTAGTACTAGTACAACAAATCTAATGGGTATATGTAAGTTTATGACGTCTAGATCAATCAGTAATTTTCAGATATTTGCTTAACTTATACTTCAGATCCAACTATAAGTTCAAAAGGCCTCTTCTAACGTATAATTGTTAAGAAAAACAACTCCAATCACTGAACCATTCATTGAAGAATACTTATCTTCAATGAATACTTATATATAGTTTTGGTATTGTTAGTCTCACATGTTATGAGCAACAGTCTTGATTGACCAAAAGAGCATTATTCTTTGAGTCTAATCCTTTGTTTTTACTAATGAAACAAAGTTCAAAGCTGAATAACAAATCGTGCAGAAGCCTACATTAACACTTAACAAAGCAATAAACAAGGGGAAAAGAACAGAACTGACGACTTACGTTAATAGGTAGTTCTGCAGTATAAACTTTGGACATCTTTGCATCCTCAAGATTAAGTATGGATTCAGTGTCTTCAAGCATGGTGGACCTGTCTTCTTGATCATTATGTTCTTCAGAAATTTGTGCTTTCTGATCAGGACTCAGTGTTCTTGTTCTCCACAAACCCATTATTGTCCTGCCAGGAAAACATAATCAGTCATCGAAAGCCTTTCTATATGTACAAATACTTTGGACAAAAGGAAATCATCTTTGTCTTGAATGTGATTGCTTGACTATGTAGTTTCCTAACACCACTACCTGATGACTGAATTGAATGACACAAATGATTGAAAATGAAATCTAAGCCTGCCTTCTTCATCTTGACACTTCGCACCATGCCTTGCATCAAGACCTCGATCCTTTTTCAGAACAATGACCAGCAAAGGGCTACCTACAGATGATAAGGATGGGGAAAGCTCTTGGATATCTTCAATATCCTCCCAAAGAAAGAAAAATTTTGTTTTGTGTCCGAACAAGTTTGCGTAAAACCCAACTATCCTCGCAGAAAGATAGAGTCGGCCCTGCAACAAAAAGTCATCATAAGAGAGACTAAAAGTATAAAGCAGATATGCACACACACACACACACACACACACCACGCACACAGGTTTCATCTTAAGCCACTGATCACTTATAAAGCTGAGTACAAGACATTTTCATTCCTCAAGCAACTGACAAACTCTCACACATAGAAGCAATCATATCATTCTTATACTGTAAAATTGAGGTAAAAAAATACCAGATTTAATAGAGCTGCTAGAAGATCTAAAAAATCTCTAGTTGAGAGTCAAGAACTACGAATTCTGACTGTAATTTATTTTTTTCAAGTAGTAGAATAGCATCCTAGAAACTAAAGCTGGAAGGCATTTTCCTCTTCAGGGAGCATGTAAAATCACTGATAAGAAATTCTTCTGGCGGCAACCCAAACAATTTCTGAAATGTTGAATTTCTATGAGGCGATCGTAGATTCAACTGTCAAAAAACCAAGTAAGGAGTTAGATCAACTTCTACAGCAGAAACTAGGCTCAATTGTAGGTTCAACAGAAGCATTTTAAACATGCAGAAGGCACCACACAAGCTACAAAAATATAACCTATGAGTGGAAAATTCAGGTACAGGAGAGTTCTGTACTATCATGTAGAATTAGTGATACTATGAGTGGGAAACTGAAGCAAATAAAAGAAAGAAGAAATTATGATACAAAGTCCTCACCTTCTTTCCAACTTCCTTCTCCATTTTGGTCATATACTCCCTGATTGTTTCAACTCCTTTGTTATTGTCCAAAAAGATTCTTAAGTGCAACTTTGACTGAGAAGACTGAGCAAGCTTTCCCTCAAGGGAGACCCACATGTCTGCGAGTTCCGTAGCTGAGTGTTTAAGAAAATTGATCTCAGCATGCCCAAGTGACATAGCTTGGTCAAAAGGGCCATCAAAATCAAAAACTTCAACGTCCAAAACTGATGGAGGTTCTTCCATAGCATCAAACTCGAGTATCTCTGCATCATTTTTCCATGAGCCATAAGTCAATATATGGGTGAAAAGAAATTGAAAAAGAATAAAAAAGTGCTCACCATTCCATTGAGGATCACTAGTTTGAAGCTTGACGGAGCTTGTTCTTGTTTTACCATTGCAGGTGAAAATCACGTAAGGATCAGAGAACCCTGATGAATCCAAGGATGCTAAGTTGTTCCCTTCAATCAAAGCAACAGTAAGAACCCATCCATCACCTTGGGCTTTGACTCCATTATCACTTCCTGTTGTAATAGATGGCCAGCTTGTGTAAATCCCAGGACAATGTTAAAGATGCAACCTCAAGTGCGAAGGTGCTGTAGGCTCAAATATTTTAGTAAAACTCATGTCATGCAATATAATGTGCTTACCTTTCTTCAACCTAGCTTGTACAAAGTGTAAAACCATGTTATAGACGCGCTCCAATTGAAGGACTAGAATTCCACATGTGATGAGCTCTCCAACACTGTCTGGCAAATCAAGTCCATTAAATTCCAATCCTTGGAGTTTACTGGGCTCACAAAGTAGAATATGAACCAGGACATACAGAACCATAAAAGTAGTGGTAACTAGAGTGAGATTCCAGAAGTATTTTCTCGCCAACTCCCAATCTGATTGATGTCCTGCCTGCGTACTTGCCAAGATATGATTCTTGTCAGACAAGTCTGTGGAATCCAGCGTTTTAAAATTCTGAGCCAGCAAGCTGGAAAACTGATCAAAACTCTCCTTAAGTCCCTGCTTAACTCCTCCTTCAATCATGCCTCTCATGAATGTGTTCTGGAGAAAGTTAACACCCCAGGATACCACAAGACGGGAGGATTCTTCTCCTGAAGGTAGCTCTGGTCCAGGCATTATCTTGTAAAGCAACTCAACCTTGAATGAATTTCCATATGGAACATCAGGTGTACTCACACTGACAAATACAGCAAATTCCTTTCCATCGGCTGTCATGTACGTTTGCTCCTCTGTGGCTTTGACAGCCTTAACTAACTTTGAGGCAGCTTTTGTGTAGGTAACAAATCGTGTCAAACATGGGATCTCTCCGGATGTCCATGTCCAAGGCCCCTCATGTACATCTGTTGTCCTCTGAAGTTCTGCCAGATCTCTCCTGAACTGTGAATTTGGGGTGAAAAGAGATGCATTAAGATCATGTTGTGAGACAAAGTATGCCTGATCAATAAGAATTCCCCCCTGCAGATTCTCTGGCATTTGTTGTTCGCTTACTCTTGACTGCATCAGCTCAAGAGACTCTTCAAAGCTACAAATAGTATGATGTTCCTCCACACAATCTTCATAGTCAGATACTGAACTAGAAAACTCTGAAGAATCATCTGTTTTTAAAGCTTCATCGTTCTTATGCAAAAGCTTGTCCACACGTCTTATAATAGCCTTCATTAACTGTTTCCCTCCTGGTATCTTCACACATGGAGATTTGGAACCAAATACACCGTGGGATGACATAAATGGACTGTCCAACTCTTTAGTTTCCTCAATGCTTATATTTGGCTGCGCACAAAGGAGGTGATCATGGCCTTTTTCATGCAGAGAAAGAGTAAGAAGAATTTTCCCTGCATTTGTAGCACAAAAATTCTACACAATTAATATAGAGATCTCGGTTGATGCTAAAATGCTAGTAGGACAATAATGCACCGCATCAATGGCCGAGTCAGCAACTTCGTTTGAGAAACTAAAGGTTTGGCCTAACAGGAAGACAATCTAGTCAATTTAGCAAACAAAGATTATTTCCTACCCGAATATTTCCCATTATCACATAACAAGGTGATAAACTGCAAACTGCTCCTAACATTTAAGAGGAAGAAAAATATACCTACTGCAGACTACTGAATACTCAGGGCTACTGAGAAAAACACACCCTAACTTTTGTCTTTTAAATGGATAACTCGTACCTTGAACATTGCATATTTTTATTTCCTTAAGATGTGAGGCAAGAAATTCACGCGGAGAATGAACAATCATCATCACCCTTGACGAAACTAATATACATCAGGACATCAATAATCTTGTTTAAAAGCTATGACAAGACAACAACCCACTAAAAGGGTCAAACACGCGAGATTTTCATTCGATTTCGAATGCACCTGCACAAATGATTTCACCATAACTCATTGTGCTTAAATTTTCCGAATCCATTATCCACTACAACAATCAAAACAGTTATTGGCAAGCGAACCAGCATTTCTCATCATCTTCATAGCAACTCCTCCTCATTGGATATACAATATCTTTATCGTATAAGAAAGTAGATAGAATGCGGTAAGATCAATGTAAATCCAAGTTCTACTTAAAAGTCTGAACTTTTTAAGAATCACCAACCATATGCAGTACCAATCTACAAAAACACAATCTTGAAAGCCACCATTGAAAGAAAACAAGGCAAACAGACATAGAAGTATACTAACCACAATCTTTATTGATAAATTTCCCAGTCTTGGGACTTTCAAGAGAATACCAAGCTGGCGGCAGGGTGCAATTAGTCTCAGCAGCAACAGAGCAGACCGTAATCCGAACCCGACCCACTAAGTCATCGCCATTGAACAAGCCAGACTCGTCGTCATGGTGAAACACAGACACAAGAAGCTCCTCCTCATTCATGTCATGAACCCTGAAAACAAACTCTTCATTCCAAACTGGGTTGGTGGTATTTCTCAAAATCCTGGTCTTGGACTTGTGCCTCCGAACCTGAAGCTTCACATAAGACTCCTTCACACGCAGGTCTTGCGCTTCCATTACGTACACGTAAAGCCTCATGGTGCAACAACAGCTTTAGAGAACTCTTGTAGAATTTGTGAGCAAAAGGACAGAGAAGGGGCCTAAGCAGAGGTGAGTTTGGGTGCGTTTGAAAGTTGGAGAAAAGGGTTGGTGTTGTTGATGTCTAACAAGAAGGAAGTGTGAGTAGGAGGCCATTAGAAAACGTGGAAGCAACAGAAAATGGACACGATGGATGTGAGAAGAAAATAGGAAATAGTGAGTTTGTTTTGGCTTGCGTTTGGAGGAAAGCAGGTCAATGACATGGAGGGAGCCTCATTAAATTATCTTTCTTCAAAACGGTTTGCCTTATCAGCTTTTGTGACTTATGTGTTCTTTGTATTCTTCTTGTGTTCAACGAGACTTTGCTTCCCCACAATACATTGATGCTGTTTTTAAGGCTTTTGAGATATTAGGATCACACTGAGAATTACCAAATAAAAAGAGAGGCTTATAGCTCAAGTGATTAAAGTTATCTGTTCACGAGATTTTAAGTTCGATTCTCCTCCTTTCAAGATCGATTGTATAAATAAATAGAAAAAGGACAGTGCAGGAGACCAATTTTCTTGAGGAATCAAATGCCTTTTATTATCATTAAGTTTGTGCTTGGTTATGGTCACTGTCAACATGTGCAGATTTTGGAATAAATTTAGGCTCGACATGCAAAAGCTCATGTAGTTTAATATCGGAGCTTCGGTTTTCTGCATCATGATCCTTCTAGTAATCCAATTTTAATCATATGTTTTTTTTTAACACAATATACCATGTATAATTAGCTATCCAACTCATTAAAAATATATAATTTAATTCTTAAATTTTTTACAATTGAATGAAGAAAAAAAAAACATGAAATATAATTTTGAGTCCACAAAAGCTAGGTGTGACGTGGATTCCACATAATAATTCTATTTTATTCTATTCATTTCCCTTTATTTTAACCGATGATTGGGACACAGTGACTCACTCTCACTCGGCAAACAGACCCAGTCGACCAGGTCTCGCCACGGTCCTTAGACCTTTGTACGGACTCTGTTCAGCGCGCGCGAGAGAGAGAGAGAGAGAGAGAGAGAGAGAGAGAGAGAGCAATGTTACAGTTCCCGGGGTTCATGAAACAGTACCCATGGTCAACAAGGACCATTCCGTCGTCGTTTTTGCTGCCAACCCAATGGCCCCAACCCCACGGCGAAGAGCTCCTCCTCGCCATGGAGGAGTCCGATTTCGAAGAGAAGGTACTTTTAGATATTTCACTTTGCCCCAATTTCTCATCTACTCATCTACAAATTTACGGAAGAGCCCTGTTTTTTAGCTAATTGAGGTTTCAATCCAAAGAACGAAAAGGAAATGAGCCAATGGCTGAAAGTGTTGATGAAAAAGGAACCTAATTTGAAGCCTAATTAGATCTAATTCTTGCATGTGGTTTGGTATTTGTAGCGTTGTTAATAAAGTAGGAATTTTTGTTCTCTGTAGGGTAAGAATATGCTTGTGAAACTTTTAAAGCTTTGTTCTCTGTAAGGCTGCACCTTGTTGGAGTTCCTTCTTCTTATTCTCCTTGATCCTATAAGCTTGAGAGCTCTTCTGATGCTCAAATTGGTGTCATGAAATACTTATTCAGCCATATTTGTTTCTATGTGTTGGTTTAACACCAGTGTACTGGATTCAAATTTTGATTGCTATGTGAATCTCTTTGGGAGTGAATAGTTCTTCATTTTGATTCTGAAACCTCATATATTAATGGTAATTACATAACTCCTTTTGGAAAGAACAAAAAACGTCCATGATCTGTGCACTCACTCTGAAAGGGAGTCAAAGTTCTAGGTCATTCAAATTTAAATTCTTGGATATAGGGACCAATATCATAGATGGTAAGAAGAGGTCATGGTTTCAGGATTTCCAGTAATGGGAATTGGATTTTGTATAACGCATGCGCATATCATGAGTTACATGCATGTCTGACCTTAGGAATTCACAGATAACTTAGGTTCATTCATATACGGGTGGTTTTTCGTCATGAGGTGCTGTTTCGGAATTCTTGTGAGTTTGAGCCTCAAAGATGGGGTTTGAAGAGTGTAACAAGCTAAAGGGCAGAAGGGCAGAGTGTAACAAGCTAAAGGGCAGAGTTATGCTATCGACATTTTTGAGTTCATCCAAGTTTAGCATTTGGTCTTATCACGTATGTAGAGGCCTATGGGAGAACCAAAACCTCAAGGAGAATGACACTATTAGTCAAATAGTTTGAAGTGTGTACCCTGTACGACAGGACACCTTGATGGCTTAGGCTATCAGTTCCACAAGGCCGGGTGGGGTATACTCACCCTGTTTGCCAATAGAAAAGTTACAAATATATATTAAACGGATAGCTTTGTTTCTTTTGGATAGAGGTGGTGCCTCAAAAGTCATATGAAAATATAATTGTAAATGACAAAAGCATTGCTCATTATCAAGATATATTTGAAGAAAATTTTTGCTTACATCTCAAGATAGCTAAATGAGTGAAGACACGTCTCACTAGGACAGCCTAGTTCTTCTTTTCAGAGCAGGATTAAGGCTGGGATGATGTCCCTTAAGGTGCTTCGAAAGGATGATATATTTAGGCACATTTTGCAATATTGTTGGATCTGTGTGTGTCTGGTTTTAAGTGTCTTGAAATTACAATTGTAGGGGATTATACCGTTGTGTTTTAGCATTTCATCTTCCTTCTCCTATTTAAGTCGGCTTGTTGTTGTGACCATTTTTTGACAGTGTAATGAAATCAGAAAGAGCAGTAGCAGCCTGATTGTGATTGGGAAAACCACCGTTGACAATGATAAAGACGACTACGAGCATGATCCAGATGACGATGACATCGACAATGCAGAGGACTCAGAGGGCGAAGAGTTTGAGCAGGAAACTGGTTGAAATTGCTGACACATCTGTTCTGTTTATGTTTGGACGGTCATATAAACCTGCATTTAAGTCTTGAACCTTGTATGCTTATCATATTATCCTAAACAGTTCTGTTGAATTGCCCCCACTTCATTATGGATAGAGCTTGTGCCTTTTTGTTTCTATATATCCTTCTGTTGGAGATGTGTACAAAAGATGTTGGTTTTATATGTCTTCACGGACTTGCAATATGGAGACTCGTCATGCCGGAAAATTCGATTTCGGTCATTCTTGTGGGGGAGGGGAGAAGGTTTTGTGGGATAAAGTTTGATACGCTGCATTCATATTCAATTTGCAATATAATAAGTTGAATTTTATTAGAAAATAACAAATTACTTCTTAAACGTTGTATCCAGTTAAAAAAGATCAACTTGTCTTAATTTAGTGATTAAGAAGCTAAGTAAGCGTCGGCTCTAGAAGCCTCTCAAAGGTTGCTTCAATTCAACTAATAAATTTATTGGTTTAGATCGAGACTTGTCTAAGAAGCATTCAAAGTTTGCCCTTCATAAAAGTCATTCCTCCTTACTTCTTAGGATGATCCATCAGGCACCAACTGGCCCACCCTGAGGGCAAGGCAGGGGAGAAAATATTCGTCCTTCTTCTGGTCTATTCTTTGTTTTACTAGTAGGTAGCCACTAGGAAGGTACATCTCATAATTAATTATTAATTCTATTTTTAAGGCCATAATAATTCGTCTTTAATTTTTTTTTCCCTTTATTTCAGACCAAGCTGGCGGCCTTTTAAGACTTTTTATAAGTCTAGTGGGAAGAGGTCCAAAAGTTCAACGCATAAGCGTTTTATCTTAAAATATTCCTCGCGGGCCCCATCCAAAACGGCATCTAATTCTGATGCCAAATGCAACCACCACCTGCCAACAGAAGAAAATTAAAAAAATCATTAGCACAAAATTACTAATAACAATACGACCAACAATAGTTAATGACACAAGTGTAACAGAAACGGTACGTGTCAACGACGAACCGAGTTTAGTTGGAATATTTTGTCCAATAGTGAGCAGTGACAGACCTATTTACGTTACGTGGCACGCACGCTGGACAGTGGACAGCGCTGGCTTAACGGCGACAAACGGAATCCCGAACGATAAAAGTTGTACCAGAATTCACGGCGACACAAATTCAAGCAATGAATTTTTGTCATTATACCACCTCGAAAAAAAATGAAAAAATAAAAGGAAAAAAGGAAAATCCTTCATTTCACACACCAATCACAAAATTTCACCCTTATATTTGTTTTCTATTTTGTTTTTTAAGTTTTTGATTAAATTTTTTCCGTCATCAGCGATATTCTTTGTGTGAAGCTCCTAGAAGTTAGGGCTTCGAATCTCAACGCCAGTCATTGCAGTGAGGATGACGATGTTGATGGTGATGATGATGATGAGGAATATAAGACATGTCGCTGGGGTTGCTCTGGACATGGCAAGGATAGTAGCAAACACGTCCGGACCCTTTCTGAAACCTGACTGGCCCGGGATGTACAATCGGCGGCGAAGCGTACCGTTTCGGAGGCGAAACATACCCTTTCAGAGGCGAAACATACCGTTTCGGAGGCGAAACATACCCTTTCAGAGGCGAAACATACCGTTTCGGAGGCGAATCGGTGAACGATAAGAGCGATTTCGAAGGGGACAGATCGCCGCCGCTCGTAGCCATAGACATAGGAGGCGAGATTTGCTTCAGCGATTTCGGCGGCGAGAGAATGGCTCTGATCTTTAGAGGACGAGACGAAGAAGAAGCTCGATCGTACTCTTCGATGATATTAGCTAACTCCTCGTCGGACTTGACCGAAATCAAGGTCTCCAAATCTCCATCCGGCAATTGACACCTCAAATCCACAGAGTAGCAACAGAACTCCGCGAGTTTCACCATTAGCTCTGTACATATCGAAAAAATGGAAATTAGCACTAAATTCAACGAAGAAAATGAAATCGAGTTGAAATTAAAGTAAATTAAGCCAAAATCAAAAGGAAAATAACGAATTGAAGCAGATTGAACAAACCTGCAAAGGAAATGGAGGCATCGACGGCAAGAACACGAGTGAGGCCACCGACGTAACGGAGATTACCGTCGGTGTGACGTGGGAGGATTTTCCCGCCATAGCTACAGAGGAGTTTTAAAGTTTTTTTGGTCTTGTGTTGGTCCATGGCTCTGAGACTTTTTTTACTTTCAAGGCAAAGAGAGGGAAGAAGAGAGAGAAGAAGAGAGTGAAAGGAGAGAAGAGGGTTTGAAGGAGGAGAGGGCCTTGAGGCTTCAAACCTCAGGGAGTGGTTTTGTCGAATATTTATAGGAGGGGGAGGAGGAGAGGGAGGAGTGGGGCTGACGTCAGCGGGAGACCCACACGCAAAGGAAAGAATGACAAATGAAGTGGTTGCTTCCTCTAATTACTATTCCTAATAGGAATTAGTATTATTGTTGAATAATAATTTGAAAACCATTCGTTAATTTTATTCGGATATTCCTTTTATTTTCTCGTTGTAAACAAAAGGGTGCCTGAAAATACTCAACGCAACGATGTGGGCCCCGCTAGGCCCATTTAGGTGGCGAGCCATCATTTTTATAAAAACATAATAATAATAATAATAATTTACTTTTTTTAATTTATCCCTTTCTTTTTCACATTGAAACCGAATTTATTCACGAGGTCACTCCAATCCAAAGTCCAAACGGAATCATAATCAATTGGGTAACTTTGGTTCACCTGCTTACAGCTGGTGTGTTTTGGCGGGTTGGGTTTCAATCTTTTCTAGTCAAAGACTTCCACTAAGACGATTATAATTTAGAGAATTATGGACTTTGTGTCTAAATTCTAGGGATTAGGAGTATAATTCTTGCTTCCTAGACTTCTTTATGATGGGAATTTGTGTTTATAGCTGTTAAATCGTCTGATTTATTTATTTATTATAATTAGAGCGTAGGTTAATCACAATACATTGAATTATATTATGATCAAATAAGAATTTACACTAAAAATGCATCTCATAAATCCCATCTTTGTAACCCGAAAAAGTTATTATGAATCGAATCATAATGGGATTAAAAACATCTTAACTTTAATACAAATTTATAAATAAAACCCAATCTTAGACATGTATTTATAGAAAAACCCAAGCACTATTTAAATATAGAAACACACCCAAAATTAATCCCAAAGTCAATTTTTTGGGTGTGTTTATAAATGGATTTTTAGTGTGTGTAATGATGGGTTTTGGGTGTGTTTATATGTTTAAATAGTGCTTGGATTTTTTTATAATTTAAGCCCCCATTTTGGGTGTTTTAGTGAAACTCCCTAATTTTAATTTTGTGGGTTGGTATTAAAGTAAATAGTTATATTCTGTTTCAGCGAATGATCCATTAGTGTGGTTTTGAGTAATTGCTTATCTATGAAATGTCATAGATTCAAGTTCTAACATTCGTGTAGTGTGTGTATGAGTTTAGTATGTTATCGCCCATCTCAATAAAAAATATAAAAAAATATATATATTTCATTACCATTACAGCTCATATCCAACTTAATTTTGCTAAATTATAAAGTCTCAATGTATTTTAAGAATATTTGAGAGCATCTTCACGTATGACAATAATGATTCTTAGTAAATAATTTTTAGCGATGCACATGAAAATCATCATACTTAACATGCCATCTGTGATCTACACCTGTTTTTAAGGTGTCTTAAGGGAACAAATGTAATAACAAAATATATTTAAACTTTTTTAGGGAATCCTCATCTAGTTGGGAAACCGAACTGCCAAGCTAGGGTTCTACACCTCAATTTCACGGCTCAACCTCACAAGAATTCCAACGACTCCTGTAAATTGATTCTGTTCCACGCATACAAACTTTAAGATTCCATTAGTTTTCCTTCCAAATATCCATACAAAAATTGTCATACCATATATAATAATTCATTAATTAATTATAAACGTAAATAATTTGTTCCAATAATTGCAAAATGCCGCTGGTGATCTGTGAATACTCCACGAAAGGTCCCATTTATGGACACAGATGTTTTTTATTTGGATTGGCTTTCCATACATGCATAGAAATTCAGGTGAAATGTCCAACTAACTTTTCTTTTGACTGTACAATTATTTGGAGTTGCGATTATAACATCTGCAAACTAAAAGAGATCATTGCAGTTCAAAATATCAAACGTCTTGCCAACCATCGTGTATTTCTGTTGAAAATTTATGGTGATGGTTGTGTATCTTTCTTGTCACATGATATGTCGGTTAGTGCACTAAAAGAGTTTGTTTTGTTTGTAAATTGAACTTCTCACGAATGAACTTCCCATGTTTAATTCTACGAGATGGGAATGGAGGATATTCATTCCCATATTTCAAAAACGAGGACTAAGAAAAATGTCATTTTATTTCATTTTCATATTTGGTTTATATAGTATAAGGACTGAAAAATTGTTTAATTTTCCAAAAATATCCTTGATTTTTTTTTAAAAAAAAGTTTTTAATACGAATAGGTTTGAAAAGTCAAAAGTGGGAAGTTTCCCAAGGCGTGCAAGAGAAATGAATTTCCTCTTACATGGGAAATTATTTCCCATGAGTATTGCATTCCTAAGGATGGATTTACCAAACATAGGAATGAAATTTCATACTGATTCTCAAGCTCCAAAATCTTGAACCAAACAGCCCCAATTTTTATTTTTTATTTTTTATTTTTTTTGCCAATGAGGTATAACTTAGTGGAAAAAGACCTTGACTTATAGGCTAATGGTTTTATATTCGAACCTCCATGACACTTTAGCAATGTGTGCGAAAAAACCTACTCTCTCAATATCGCTATAGAAAAAAAAAAAAAAAAAAAAAAAAAAAAAAAAAAAAAAAAAAAAAAAAAAAAAAAACGTTTTCTTGCTATTCAAACTATGATATAAGAGTGTATAAGACGATTGGAGAAGTCCGAATGAGGCCAAAAGAAATAAGTTCCATTGAACTGTTGAACATCATTTGCCCATTGCGTTAGATACATGAATTTGGTAACATGAATGAGAGTTGGGTTAATTTGGAAAAATTAGGAAAAATGACAAAGATGGAAGCTGAGAGTGGAGTTTTCTCAAATACACTATCAAAGTGTCATTGAGATTCAAAGAAAACACTAATTCACAAATCGAGGTCCTTATCTAATCCAGAAATAAAATCAAGCAAGGACCATTTCCCGACAAGAACGTATACAGGGGCGGTTGTTTACTCGTTAAGTTATGTTTACGGAGATGTAGACACGCGGAAGGAAGTACCTAATAGGAGGGCACGTGGATGGACGCGTGGCATGCATTGCAGCTGGCGTTTGAGGGGAGGGGCTAGCGAGCATCATCCACTTGATTATTGTGGTGGCCAAATAAAAAGGCCACAGGGCAGGCAAGATTCGTTGTGTATGGCCAATAAGGTGAAGGTCATGGCCCACATAAACGGTTCATGAATCATACAAGGGACAATGCCATCTCAAACCCCATATAATGATTTATTTACGTAATTATTTGAAGAGAATAAGTTCCAAATTTGAAGAGAAATATTCCTAAATCAATAATCGGATGGTACTTTAAAAAAAAAAATAATAAGGAACTAATCATGACTGATTAAACTCTAATTAGCGTCGAGATTATGGGATCGGGCCATCAAAGCCGTGTCTAGAGCCCTACAATGAGTGGGTTTTCTATAATATTTTAAAGTTTTTCTCTTGTGAATTGTTTTTGAATCATTCCATCGATGCATCTCTGAGTGAAATTCAGAAATTGTAAGTTTTGGAATGTATTTGGGTACCAGGTGCGCTGATCAAATGCTTGGGGTGCATTTAGAAGGCCCAAATCCGAGTCCAAACTTAAGGATCAAAATTGGGGAAGGGCCTTCTGGAATTTAATTTAGGCCTTATTTTTGGCATTGGACCTGAGCAGGACTAATTGCTGCTTTATTTTGTGTGTGTGTGTGGATAATTTGTTGCTTGGTGTTCTTTGGGAGAAATACTTACATGAAATGGGAATAACGCTATTTTGCTATCCTGATCAATCACATGATGTCCCGCGTGATAATTTTTCTAGGTCGTTGGATGTAATCTAGAAGCTTGTGGAAATATGCCAAACAACCCATTGACCTGTTAACATTCGCAACCTTGAATTGACTAATATATTGGTACCAAAAGTCGGCTGTGGGAATGCCATATCTTCAACCTTGTGCTTGGAAATTGAATTATGTGAATGCAACCAGGACGAAATTCTTTCCTCTTTCATTATCCCCACACTTGATATAAGCTCTAAAATACACTCCACCCATCTCCAACTTGTACATGTATTTTCTCCTTCAATATTTACATACAATATAACTTAAATAAATTGATAATATTACGTGACAGTGACGAAAAATAATTGAATGCTTCCCCTATGCAATATATATAAACGCAACAACTAGATTTGTAATAGCAGTATTTCATTTCTTGCATGAGGTCCTTCTTCAATATGAAATAATGAATGACTAGGGTTTAGGACTGACTGAGCTGTCCACACCTACAATACAGAGTAATCTTCACTAAAGAAAGTAACTTAACCACCTATTTTAATCCCACCAACCTTCAAATTTGTTTTCACCAATTTCAGCATAGCCGGCGGTCACCGGAATCTGTACGGATGAGACCCTTCTCTCTTTTCTTCCCCCTCCTCCTCCTTCTCCACCCCATCTTCTTATCTCCCACTTCGGCTCTCGAGTTTCTCTTCAACTCCTTCTCCAACATCACCAATGCCACCGACCTCACTCTCATCGACGACGCTCTGCTTGACGCCACCGTCATCCGCCTTACAAACGACACCGCTACGCTCTCCGTCGGCCGCGTCTTCTACCCAAAAAAGCTTGCCATGAGACCTACTTCCAATTCCTCCTCCCTCACCTCCTTCTCCACCTCCTTCGTCTTCTCTATCCTCCCCGACATCGCTTCCAGCCCAGGCTTCGGCCTCTGCTTCGTCCTCTCCAACTCCACCTCACCCCCCAACGCCCTCGCCAGCCAATACTTCGGGCTCTTCACCAACGCCACTGTTCCCTTCGTCGCTCCGCTGCTCGCCGTCGAGTTCGATACCGGGCAAAACCCAGAGTTCAACGACCCAGATGGAAACCACATCGGCATCGACCTCAACAACATCGAATCTGCTAT